GTAGCACTACTATCAGCGTCCGTCTTCCTCTTGAAGATCCATTTATTTTGTATGGCTTGCCGATCATCGAGCAAGTCAACCAAAGTCCACACTTTGTTCTCATAGTAAGCGTGCACGTGCAACACACGCATCATTAAGAAGTTATGTTCGATCTCTTCTACTAAGGGGATACAAGCATCTACGATTGAAATGGGCAAATATGACCCACCCCCTATATGTTCACTGACACATCCAAACAATGTTCGTATGCAACGCATGTATTGTTAAGAAGTTATATTCGATCTCTTCTGCTAAGGGGATACAAGCATCTACAATTGGACTGAGCAAATATGACCCACCCTTATATATATGTCCGCTGACACATCCGAACAATGTCTGTATGTGTCTACTTTAAACCTCATTTGTTCATCCACGCAGCCATGTCCCCCAAATTGTCAATCACATGCATAATATTGGTTGGGATGGAGAGAGAATAAAGAAAGAAATAAGATGGTCTTGGGTGGACTGGGTTTGCGGACAGATTGGGTGGCTTTTTTCTTCTCCCCTGGGTCTAGACAAAGGGCACAGAGTGGGGTGTAGATGCACTAAGAGCATCTCCAACAGGCGCGCCAAACTAGCGCCGCGCCGCAAAATCCCCCCTTTTAGCGCGTGAGCAACCGGAATAGTTGCTCCAGCGGGCGCGCGAAAACCGCGCGCGCGGCATATGTAGTCCAGCGCGCGGGCCGAAACGCAATCGCGCGCCGCTTATTTGTTGCGCCCGCTCCCGCGCGCTGGACTCTCGCGCGCTCGCTTGCACCTCCCACCCCCCCTCTAGCCGGGCCGCCGCCGACCACGCCACCCGGCGACCGTTCCGGCGCTTCCCCGACCTATCCCCGCCCCGCGCGCGCTTTCTCCGCCCCCCTATAGTCCCGCCGCCCCGCACGCGTGCTAGTCCTCCGACGAACAGCGCCCGCGCGCTCGCTGCCACTCGGCGCCCGCAAGGTGTTCGACAAAACGCCTAGAAGGTATGTATTGCTCAAAAGCCATGAATTTCGTCCATGTTGATTGTAGTTTTGTATTTATAGCATAGTATTCAACATTGTAGATGAGTTTGTCGTATGATTCTTTCGAAGAAGAATTTGATATGGAAGAGGAGGAGGATCTTGCAATGATCCTAGCTATGCATATTAATAAAAAACCGAAGCACGGTGGTTCGGTTATGGGTCGTCAAAATTTTTGGAGGGATAGGATCGATGCCCACAACAGATTGATCAGGCATTATTTTGCGGAGAATCCCACATACCCCGAGTCATATTTTCGTCGCCGGTTTAGGATGAGCACCGAGTTATTCAGGCGCATTGTAGAGAAACTAGCGAGCCATGACCGTTTTTCAGCAAAGGAGGAATGCCGCCGGAGAGCTCGGGCATAGCACCTTTCAGAAGGTGACAGCCGCTTTGCGTATGTTGGCATATGGTATACCGACTGATCTAGTTGATGATCACTTGGCTATGGGTGAGAGCCAAGCCATCATGTGTATCAAGCGCTTCGCAGTCGGAATTGTGCAAGTGTTTGGCGAGGAGTATTTGAGATCTCCCAACGCTGAAGACGTAGCAAGGCTTTTAGCAATGAACAAAGCTCGCGGTTTTCCTGGCATGCTTGGCTCAATAGATTGCATGCATTGTACTTGGAAGAATTGTCCAAAGGCATGGCATGGGCAATTCCACGGCCAAAAAAAGGGTTCCACTATAATCCTTGAAGCGGTGGCCGATCAAGAGACTTGGATTTGGCATGCATTCTTTGGAATGCCTGGATCTTTGAATGACATCAATGTTGTCAACCGGTCACCACTAATGAGTAAGATTGCAAATGGGGAGTTGCCACCGGTGCAGTTTGTAGCAAATGGTCGTACATACAAGTATGGCTATTATCTAGCGGATGGCATCTATCCAAAGTGGCAAACCTTTGTCAAGCCGTTGAAAGAGCCAGAAGGTAAGAAAAATCTTGATTTTCATAATGCTCAGGCGGCGGCTAGAAAAGATGTGGAGAGAGCTTTTGGGATTTTGCAAGCCCAATTTGCTATTGTGAGAGGACCGGCTAGATTTTGGGATCAGAAGATGCTTTGGTACATAATGCACGCTTGTGTGATCATGCAGAACATGATCATCGAGAATGAGTGTGGCCAAGATGTAGACTACTCTCAATATGAGCTCTTGGGACATCCCGTGCGAGTGCGACGGAGGGCTGAAAGGGTGGCCCGTTTTGTTGCCTCCTATCATGCCATTCGATGTCCCGCGGCGCATAATGATCTTCAGAAGGATCTCATTGAGGAGTGGTGGGCATGGAATGGACGACAAAGAGCATCATGATTTGTGCGTTCGTTATTGTATTGTTGAACTATTTTTGTGTTGAATTGCACTATTTGTTGTATTGAACGATAAAAACTGTTTGTTTGAGTTGTAATAAACGAAATTGAACTATTTATTTTTGTTTGTTTTGATCTCTTTGCTTCTGTTTTCGAATGCATATGTTGTTTGTGCAAGTCGCGCGCGCTGCATTTTGGCGCGCTGCTGGAGCGGCGCGCGCGCTGCATTTTAGCGCGTCTGCTGGAGCTAGCGCTGCGCGCCGCGCCAAACCAGACTATGCGTGCGCGGCATATCTGTTTTTTTCGCGCGGCGCGACCGGCGCCTGTTGGAGATGCTCTAAGTGCGGCAGTTTGCTACTCACATCGAGACACCGCCCCCGAATAATATGCCCTGCTCTCCTCCTACCTTGCTTGCACTTCAGAGAACCAAAATATTATCAACAACATTACCGTTAGTTCATGCACAAACTTATTGCTCTCTCTCCCTCACACATAACTTCATTTAAAATAAAACCAGGTAACCGAGTGTTCAGGTGGTTAATCCCTTTTTAGATGTTCCCGATGCGGCATATTTAGAACATCTTGGCCTATATGTTAACGAAGAAAAAAATCATACCAAAGTAAGTATGTTAGTAACCTTTATAAGATATATACATATGTATTACATTTTGTCAACAACTTCGAAACCACGATTATACGATTTGAAACCACAGTCTCCCACGCTTAGTCTTCTGAAGCAATATAATGATACTTGCTGCCATGTGAAACATCAAAATTGCTAAGAAATGTCAAGATATCCCATAAGATTACTAATAACTAAGAGATTGTTTGCATATAAGATCACAGAATTTCTACTAATGGCTGAAACTTTACTCAAAATGCAATGCTCGAATGTAGCAAAGACTCATTTCCTCCTTTTCCGAGAACATGCAGGAGAACAACGTGTATAATATATTAAGAGAATAGTACATCAACCTAATGAAGGCTGACAAAAGCAACGACACCACAAAGTTTAAACAACCGTGAAACAAAGGAAGACACGACCTGAAACTAAACATTGTTATCTCTTCAGTAAAATATATTTACTGGTTTCAGTCAAGCTAAACCTGAAAAGGAAGTCCACTTATTTACTGTAGTTGCAAATTCAATGCGAGGCCCTACCTTGCCTTTGGCTTGGAGGTTGTCACCTCCCTTCCCATCACTGTTTATTCCTTATTCCACCCCTCTTTGTTTCCTTGAGTTCCTCCCCCTTGCCCTTTTCCTCTTCATCATCCTGCTGCAAAGCAACAGAGTTTGAGATGCATCAGACTTTCAGAAAAATTGAAGTAACTTTGGAAGTTCATATAATATTTCTTCTTTCCATGTAGTAAAGCCCAACCTTATACAGACATAATTAGGATTTGCATAATTATTTTCTTCCATGTGGTAGTGTGGCATCTTAAGATCAAACATTTACAAGTCTCAGTGATGAGTTAACAAAAGATAGTTAATTAACTGTTAATTGTAATAATATCATTTTCTATGGCGATTATAACGGTACCGTTGCAAGCAGGAGCGCGGGAATAATTGAAGTTTCAGCCAATGGATTTATACATATATTACTCAGCTCATATCCTATAATAGCACCAGACTTCATATACCTATGCATCAACTTTGTTCACTTGTCCGTCCAATTCATGTACTGTCCAACAGAGGAACGAACGATCCATCAACTTCAAAGCTCAGGAATTAAGGATCCATCAAGTTCAAAATTATATGGTTGATGGAGTCGCATGAATGTGATCTCAAAACACAAAGAATCAATGAGTTGGCGGGTAATACTTTACATCTAGTCAACAACAAGATAAATCAAGCCATGAAATAATTGAAAAATATGTTTTCATTGCCAAAGTAGAGAGATGACATTTGGAAGTTTGATTGCTGAAACAACAACGACTGACCTTATATAATTAGAGCAAACAGAAACGTTAACAGAGGAAGCAGGTGTACTGAACATGAAGAGCATGATTCTACCTGAATGATCCAACTGATCGAGCATTATGCGCTCCATCTCGATGTAGGACATCTGTTCTCATTGGTGGTCAAGTTCAAATACGCTCATGATGCTGAACATGTAGATGTTCCGGGCATCCCTCAGAACCTACCACTGGATGGATTTGGGATGGATTTGCATTGTACATCCTATAATATTTAGTAGTAGTATCTAAATACTCTACCTGCTCTTTCATGGAGTACAGAGCCACTACATATGAAGGCACCTGCCAAAGAGCCATGTACCATGCAAAAATTAATAAATTCAAGAGTTGCATTGCCCGTAACAAAAAACACATGCAGATTGGTAATCAAACTCTCAGGCTGGTCACTATGTACATAGACCAAACCTAGATGATGCAACCGCATTTGGTGAGTGGTGACATAGAGGCTATTTGCGACTCTGAGATGGAGGGATCAGGGAGCAATTACTCGTCAGTTGTTGTCGCCTATCGGCATGACCATCCTCAGCCAATCTTCGTTGATCCATATCCGGCCGTACATGAGAAACCCCTAATGCCATATCGATAATTAAGACTAATCACATAATTAGTGCTTCGGCAAACCTTAGACATGGCTGCTGGTCCAGTGAGAGACAAACCAAAAAGGTGCCCGTGAGTTCATCCACTCAGCAACCTTCCTGACGACGACAATTTTGTAACTGCATGGTCCGCTTCAAACTGATGGCACCACACCTCCTTTGTTGCATCGAAAACCATGAGAAAGATTGATTACCTAGTTCATGTTGGGGTGATTCCCCATCAAGACAACTAAATCTGATCCCCACTTGATTTTCCCATGTAGCCATGTGAGACGTGGACAAGAGAGCTTTTGGACCATGAGGGAGGTTATCCTCAAGAAATCTTAATCGTCCTAGAACACCAAGGAAACACGCCTGAAAATTGAATCCTATGGAGAGACGGAAACCCTAGAACCCGACATGGCTAGCATATGATTCATTGCAGGAGCGGGCGCGCATGAGAAAAGTATAGTGGAGGGGGCTTACCTGAGCCGGAGTGGAAGAAGCGTCTGGCCACTGAGGTCCAGGGGGATACATGGAGGGACCACATGGCAGAGCAGCAGACCGTATTGATGCCCATCGCTCCTCCGTCGGGCCGCTAGCCGTGGATCCACGGAGCCGGAGGTAGAGTCGCCGCGGACGCTGTGGATGCACCGCCATGGTTGTTGTGGATCCATCCTTCGCCTCCATCGGCCCGTTAGCCGTGGATCTGCGGAGTCCGATGGTGGAGCGGACAGGGAAGCTCCGGATGCATGATCATGGTTGTTGTGGATTGATCCTTCTGGAGCTGGGGCCTAAAGAAAGAAGGATCAGGAGGCACGATTCAGGTGGAACAGATCCGTAAATCGGGGTGTTGCGAGCGGGCCGCGGGATTCAGGAGACGCGGAGCGCTACGGCAGTTGGCAGAACAGAGACCAGGCGTCTGCTCGGCATAACATTTGATCTGAGACGTTGATTTAGTCGACAAACTATTGATACAACAAGAATAGTAGGATGTGTTTAAGTTGATTTGATCAAAAGGTCCTGGTTATCCTGGGTACAGTTTGTTGTGTGGCTTTAGGGGTGTTTATGTTTGCTTTTTTAATAGTAGTATAGATACATGGATCCCATCTTAGATTTCATGGCCTCAGGCCATTTCACGGAATCTGGGCTCATCATTGCTTCCTCATAGTTCGTAGGTTCGTCATGGTCAATTAACATGACCTCCAGAACAGGATTATCGTACCACTCTGGTGCGGATCTCACTCTGGTTGACCTACGAGGTTCAGTAGTAATGTAAGTGCATCTAGTGCCACCCCTAGTTAGTTTTGGAGTATTGACGACAAACCTTATTGAGGGACTAATGTGTTTGTGAGAACTGCAGGATAACACAGGTAGAAGTCCCTCATTGATTCAGTTTTCCTACCAGAGATGACCCCTAAAAATGTATGAAGACATTGAAGTCAAAGGTGGTATGTGAAGACATTCATATTGAAGACTATGACAAGAGAAGACATCGCGTGAAGACTATGGAGCGCGAAGACTTAGTTGTTTCGTCATTCTTTTTCTTCTTTGTTGAGTCATAGGAACCACCGCACTATTAAGTGGGGTCCAAAAGAACCAGTCAGAATGACTGAAGTGATGCTTAACCAAAATCCTATGTCTTCGAGCGAAGACAATGAGAGCAAAACTTATCCAGAGCTGGATAAGTCAGCTTTGCTTGTAGCCCAAGTAAAGTTGCCATGTGTGTTTGAAATCTGACCGTTGGAACACGTGTCAGTTCCTTAGTGACCCAGGGTCATTTCGGACAAATCAGGTTGGGTTGCCTAGTGGCTATAAATAGCCCACCCCTACAACCATAAATGGTTGGCTGCTCAGAGTTAGTGTACGGCTTTTGTCGTTTGAGAGCAACCCACCTCGAAGCCTTTGAGAGAGAATTCCTTGCGAGGACAAAGCCCTAAACACCCAGAGCCAAAGAGTGTTAGGCATCACTGAAGTCTTCCTATCTGTGTGATCTAAAGACTCGTTACACTTGAGGACTGTGTATCATCCAGCCAGTTAGGCGTCGCGTTTTGAGCATCCAAGAGTCATTGTGGATTGCCGGTGAACGAAGTCTGTGAAGGTTTAGGAGCCTACCTTGAAGACTTACCAGAGTGATTGGGCGAGGACTGAGTGTCCTTAGCTCAAGGGGAATAAGGTGAAGACACGGTCTTCTGAGTTGAATCTCAGTCTCTCTAACCAGACGTACGGTTGTCACAGGAACTGGAACTGGTCCAACAAATCATTGTCTTCAACGAGCCACTGGTTCTATCCTTCCCATCTCTTTATTTACAGTTGGTCCTTGTGAAGTCATTGCCTGTTTGCATTATCTTTTGTCTTCATTGAGTGACTGCTTGTTCTGATTGGCTTCATACTATCTTCCAACCTGATCCATACTTCCTAGTTGCTATTAGCCATTGTGCCTTCACTTCATTGAATACTTCACTATGGCGTGTCTAGTGTAGTCTACCTTCCGCTGCATGGTAATAGGTTTATTTCTATCGTTTGTCTTCGAAACTTCCATGTTTTGAAGACTTTCGTAAAAATCGCCTATTCACCCCCCCTCTAGTCGATCACTAGCACTTTCAATTGGTATTAGAGCAAGTTACTCCCTTGTTCTGTGTGATTCGGTTTAACCACCTAGAGTTTTAGGTATGTCAACTGCAGGGATAATCAAAGTCTTCGCTGCGTGCCCAGTCTTCGATGGAACTGAATATCCCTACTGGAAGAATAAGATGCGCATGCATGTTGAAGCCATTGATGTCGACCTCTGGTATGTCGTCAAGAATGGCGTCCCCAAGGCTGGTGAAGGTGTCACCGCTGTTGATGTCAAGAAGTTCGTTCAACTGGACTCCACGGCCAAGAACATCATCTGTGGTCATCTGACCAAAGGACAGTATGGCCGTGTGAGTGCTCTAGAAACATCTAAGCTAGTATGGGACTGGCTCTCCAAGGTCAACGAAGGCGTCTCAACCCAGAGAGATCAAAGAATCAGTGTCCTTCACAACCTCTTCAACTGCTTCAAGAGAAACGACAATGAGAATGTTCAGCTCACGTTTGATTGACTCACTGACATCACAAATGAGCTTCAAGCCCTCAGCGCTACTGAGATCACCAAGCATGAAGTCGTCAAGACACTCCTGAGATCACTTGATAGCTCGTTTGACACCCTAGCCCTAATGATTCAAGAACGTCTTGACTTCAAGACACTCGATCCGTCTGACATACTTGAAAGGCTCAACACACATGAGTTTCAGCTTTCTGAGAAAAGAGACATCTACGGTCCCAACTATGGGCGAACTCGTGCCTTGAAGGAAAAGGCTGTCTCCTCGTCTGAAGAAGAATCTGACAGCAGTTCTGGTGATCCTGAAGACATTGGAAAGGAGCTTGCTATGCTTGTGAAGAAGTTCCAAAAATTCACCAAGAAGAAAGGCTTCGGAAAGTCTTCACGATCAAGCTCAAGGAATGATGAAGCTTCTGCTCATGACTACAAGAAGAGAACATGCCACAAGTGCAAGAAACCTGGCCACTACATCTCTGAGTGTCCGCAGTGGGACAATGAGAACAACAAGAAGAAGAAGAGCAAGGAGTATGATTCTGATGACAACAAGAAGAAGAAATACTCAAAGTCTTCTTCCAAGTCTTCCTCAAAGTCTTCATCACACAAGAAGAGCTCATCTGGCAAGCCTCATGCGTTTGTTGGCAAGGAAATGGATTTAGAGGAGGAGTTCGCTTCTGAGGAGGCGGAGGTGGAGTCTAAGGAGGAGTCCGATTCTGGCGTTGCAAGTCTGGCTACAGCATACGTTGCCAAGTCCATCTTCAACACTGAAGACAATGACTTCATCACCGACGCCGATGCAAATGACATGGACTACTCCACTCCCACCTACTGCTTCATGGCACACGGTGCCAAGGTAAACACATGCACCACTCACTATCAAACATCCAGTGAAGATGACTCTGATTGTGGTTCCAAACCCAGCTACAAAACACTTGCTAAAATTGCAACTGAACAACAGAAAGCTATGGAAATCGATCTCGGTCCTTAATTGAAGACATAAAAAATCTTCATGCTAAGTATGAGGAACTTGAAAGTCATCATGGAACGCTCTCAACAACTCATGAAAAACTTTCCTATGATTATCTTCAAAGGAAGCAAGATCTTGAGAAATTGAGAGCGGCTCATGAAGATCTTCAAAAGGAAAACGAGTCACTTCGCGCCAAACAGATCAGTTCCGCTCAGGAAGGATTTGAACCACCATGTCTTAAATGCATTGAGCATGACAACACTACTTCTATTGCTGGATGTTCTACTGCTGCTACTATTGCAATATCTTCAACTGTTGATGTGCTAACTAACCCCTCTGCTGAGGATACCACTGCTATTGCTGATGAAAATGCTAGGTTGAAGACATTGCTTGAAACAGGGATGTACAAAAGTCTCAAAGGGCATCAGACACTATGTGATGTCCTCAAAAGGCAGATCCTGAACCGAAAGCCTAGGAAAGAGGGTCTTGGGTTCGAAAGGAAAATGAATGCTGATGGCTCTTACTGGAAACCTGAGCAGTACCCCAAAACCACATGGGTTGCTGCAAAGGAACCTTCAATGGATCCATCCACCCTGTTTGGCTTCACTTGTGCTAATCCCATTGTTATTGTGGATCCTTTGATGCAAACTATAAACTATTTAAGAATCAGAATGGTGAAGTGTTTGCCAGGTATATTGGTACTAACTGCAGGAATGGGCCACCTATGAAGAAAGTCCGGGTGCCGAAAAAGTGGTTGGAGAATCTTCCTGTGAATGTCGTCATGACACCACAAGTGAAGAAGACAAACCCCGGACCACTGGCTTCATATGGTCCAAAGGCTTCATACAGACAAAGGACTCACCTGAGTCGCACTAACGCAAATGTTTTGCAAGGAAACCATACTCAGGCCTATGAATATGAGCGCGTTTCATCAAACCGCCATGTTCATAAGACCAAGAACTACTCTGCTTATTCTTATGAGTACTATTGTCCACCTGCAAGACTATTTGCTAGGGCTCCAAAGCCAAAGTTCTCAGATGCTGCACTTAGACTCATTGCTTCGAAGCCACCCTTGAAGATGTGGGTGGCTAAGAAAGCTTAACTCTCTTTTGCAGGGAAGGGTCTCCAGCCGAAAATCAAATTCGTCTGAAGCTATTGCTGGGGACCTTAAACATCTTGTAGGGCGCAAGATCAAATGCCCAAATGGTATTATTATGTATTTTGCTCCTGAATCGCTTGCTACTTTCCCTATCAGTCCTAACCTCGATCTAAGCTTTCATAATCCACTTGCTCGTCAAATGTTTATGCTTCACAATTCTCTTCGTGAAGCCTATCCCCCTAACTGCACTGTAGGGTATGACACCAGCTGCTTCAGAATGGATTATTGATAGTGGGTGTACTAATCACATGACTGGGAAGCGAAGTCTTCTCATGGACTCAACTTTACGTCCATCTGACAAGAGTCACATCACATTTGCTGATACTGGTAAAAGCAAGGTATTGGGTCTAGGTAGAGTTGCAATCTCAAGGGAAC